TGGGGGTCTCTGGTGTCCCCGGGGGTCTCTGGTGTCCCTGGGGGTTTCTGGTGTCCCCTGGGGTGTCCCTGGGGGTGTCCGGTGTCCCCTCCTGGGGTGTTCGGTGTCCCTGGGGTGTCCCTGGGGGTCTCTGGTGTCCCCAGGGGGTGTCCCAGTGTCCCTGGGGTGTCCCTGGGGTGTACCTGGGGGTCTCTGGTGTCCCCGGGGGTCCGCAGCTGTCCCCGAGGGTCCCCAGCTGTCCCTGCTGTCCCTGGGGGTCCCCGCTGTCCCCGGTGGTGTCCCCGGGGGTCCCCGCTGTCCCCGGGGGTCCCCGGGGGTGTCCCCGGGGGTCCCCAGCTGTCCCTGGGTGTCCCCGGGGGTCCCCGCTGTCCCCGGGGGTCCCCGCTGTCCCGGGGGTGTCCCCGCTGTCCCCGGGTGTCCCCAGGGGTCCCCGCTGTCCCCGGGTGTCCCCGCTGTCCCCGGGGGTCCCCGGGGCTGTCCCTGGGGGTCCCCGCTGTCCCCGGGGGTCCCCGTTGTCCCCATTGTCCCCGGGGGTCCCCGAGGGTCCCCGGTGTCCCCGGGGGTCCGCAGCTGCGCGTGTCCCCAGGACGGGCAGGCCATGCTGTGGGACCTGAACGAGGGCAAGCACCTGTACACGCTGGACGGCGGCGACGTCATCAACGCGCTGTGCTTCAGCCCCAACCGCTACTGGCTGTGCGCCGCCACCGGGCCCAGCATCAAAATATGGGTGAGACTGGGATTGGGATTGGGATTGGGATTGGGAATGGGAATGGGAACAACGGGAATGGGATTGGGAACAATGGAACGGGAACGGGAATGGGCACAGCCCCAACCGCTACTGGCTGTGCGCCGCCACCGGGCCCAGCATCAAGATATGGGTGAGACTGGGATTGGGATTGGGATTGGGATTGGGAATGGGAATGGGAATGGTGGGATTGGGACTGGGAACGACGGGAATGGGATTGGGAACAATGGAACGGGAACGGGAATGGGCACAGCCCCAACCGCTACTGGCTGTGCGCCGCCACCGGGCCCAGCATCAAAATATGGGTATGGAACTGGGAATACTGGGAATGATGGGATTGGGAATGGTGGGATTGGGATTGGGAATGGGATTGGGAATGGGAACAATGGGATTGGGAACAACGGGAACGGGAACGGGCACAGCCCCAACCGCTACTGGCTGTGCGCCGCCACCGGGCCCAGCATCAAAATATGGGTATGGAACTGGGAATGATGGGAATGCTGGGATTGGGATTGGGATTGGGATTGGGATTGGGAATGGTGGGATTGGGATTGGGAATGGGACTGGGAATGGGATTGGGAACAATGGGATTG